ACTCCATTTGGTTTATTTTAGTTTTTGCGAATGCCATTTGGACTAACTAATGCAGCTCAAACCTTTCAGCGATCCATTGATCAGGTTGTTAGAGGTTTGACAGGAGTATACGCATATAACGACGATATATTAGTAGCTAGCGCTACCGTCGAAGAACATCTACAACATCTACGACAGTTATTCACGAGACTTCAAGAACATGGTGTCACTATTAACGTGGAGAAATGTGAATTTGTGAAGAAATATGAGCAAAAATGATTGAAATCATCAGCTCCGATTTCAACTGACATATACACCAATCATTCTTGGTTTCATATTTCTCTGCTGCAAATACCGAAATGATTGACAGAGCATGGGATATCTTGGTCATTAGTGAAACAACTGGCCCTATCCTCTAGAAGACAATATGACTATCACGCACTAGCTCGTATCATTTAAACTTTTAAATCTGTAATTTTCTACACAAAGAGAAGGCCACAAATCACTTTTAGTAAGTGACTACAGTATGCAAAAATTAAAATATTTAAAGTTTAAATGCAAATGAAAAGTTTGGAGTTAATTAGTAGTAAGTTGTGAAAACACATTTTTTGGCACACTAAATAACTAAGGTTGACCAAGTGGATTCCCTCAACCTTCCATTTTGACAGCGAAACTGTATGCAGACAAATATCAGATAGGGAGCATAGGCACTGAACAGCTGTAGTATTAAGGGTTTAATCAGTAACAATGACAGGTTCTTTCTCTTTCCAGACATCCTTAACTGATATTTTAGGAAGCTTATTCTTTCGAGTACCGGTAACATATACGTTAAATTACGAACTGTTTGAACTTGAAGTTTCTCGTGGTAGCTCTCAAGAGACATCGGTTTAAAAAAAACCAACAAATATTCGGTGTTTGACGACTCCTGAACTATTAACACCTTTTATAATCGAAATGTGCCATCTCAGTCAAATTAAAAGTCAGAAGCTAACATGTTGGAAGGTATATATTTGACAGAATATCAGTCTATCGAGGAGTGATCAATCTAAACCGGCTAGCAGTCATAGGAGTTGTGAAGCACGGTGTACTCACTCGTGATCTGGAGCGCATGCGTGACCGAGCACCATCAGATAGGCAAGTCCATTAAAGCTAATGCGGTTAGCATCAAATGTTGAAGACTTATAGAGCTACTGACTTCGGGAATTTATTTACCGCTACAAGTCATTTTAAAACTTAGCAGAGGAAAACTACATGATATCCAACTTAATTGAATACTGCACCCTATTCATTCCTCTCAACACAACGTGACGAATAATCTAAGCCATTTGCGGTCATTGGCCTCCTTGTGTTTTTTGAAGACTATACTAATGGCCGAGAGGGTAATCTACGTTAGGCAACAGTCGTAAAGTGTGACTTCGGCACCAGCTGGTTGATCACGACACTACTGACCTAGTTATTGAACACGGATCATCTATCTCTATATATTTAGACTGAATCAAAAGAAAAAAACACACTAAATAAATGATTATAACATATATGAAATGATAAAATATAGTTCTGAAACAGGAGATTAGTAGCTTAAATCACAAGTTACTGAGAAGTTTGGAAAATATGCCTTTTGATATAGCTCAAAACCTGTGAATTTACGGTCACAAGGCTTACTTACTTACTTACTTACGCCTGTTACTCCCAATGGAGCATAGGCTGCCGACCAGCTTTCTCCAACCCACTCTGTCCTGGGCCTTCTTTTCTAGTTCTTTCCAGTTCTTGTTCATTCTTCTCATGTCTGTCTCAATTTCTCGGCGTAATGTGTTCTTTGGTCTTCCTCTTCTCCTTTGACCTTCAGGATTCCATGTGAGGGCTTGTCTTGTGACACAATTGGGTGATTTCCTCAAAGTGTGCCCAATCCACTTCCAGCGCTTCTTCCTGATTTCTTCCTCCGCTGGAATCTGGTTTGTTGTCTCCCACAGTAACTTGTTGCTGATAGTGTCTGGCCATCGGATCCGAAGTATCTTGCGTAGACAGCTGTTGATGAACACTTGTATCTTCTGGATAATGGCTTTCGTAGTTCTCCACGTCTCTGCCCCATACAGAAGAACTGTCTTGACATTTGTATTGAAAATTCTAACCTTGGTGTTGGTTGACAATTGTTTTGTGCTCCAGATGTTATTCAGTTGTAAGTATGCTGCTCTTGCTTTGCCGATCCGCGCCCTCACATCTGCATCTGATCCACCGTGTTCATCAATGATGCTGCCCAGATATGTAAAGGTTTCCACATCCTCCAAAGCTTCTCCGTCAAGTGTAATTTGATTGGTGCATAATGTATTGTATCGAAGAGTCTTGCTTTTCTCTTTGTTTATATTGAGACCTACTGCTGCTGAGGCTGCTGCTACACTGGTCGTTTTCTCCTGCATTTGTTGTTGCGTTTGTGATAGAAGAGCCAGATCATCCGCGAAGTCCAAATCGTCAAGCTGCATCCTGCCTGTCCACTGTATCCCGTGTATTCCTCCAGATGTTGACGTCTTCATAATCCAGTCGATCACCAGGAGAAAGAGAAAGGGTGAGAGTAAGCAACCTTGCCTAACACCGGTCTTTACCTCGAACGAGTCGGTGAGTTGTCCTCCATGCACTATTTGGCAGTTTAGTCCATCATAGGAGTTCCGTATGATGTTGACTATCTTCTCAGGCACGCCGTAGTGTCGAAGAAGCCTCCATAGTGTCGTTCTGTCCACGCTATCAAATGCCTTCTCGTAGTCAATGAAGTTGATGTACAGTGATGAATTCCATTCGATTGATTGTTCCACAATGATACGTAGAGTTGCGATTTGATCTGTGCACGATCCATCCTTACGAAATCCAGCTTGTTGATCTCGAAGTTGAGCGTCCACGGAATCCTTCATCCTGTTTAACAATACTCTGTTGAAGACTTTTCCTGGTATTGAGAGGAGAGTGATGCCCCTGTAGTTGTCGCACTTGCTCAGATCGCCTTTCTTTGGTATCTTGATCAGAAGTCCTTCTTTCCAGTCTGTTGGTACATGTTCTTCGTCCCAAATCTTACCGAAGAGGATGTGGAGTATCTTGGCAGTTGCTGTTACATTTGCTTTCAGTGCCTCTGCCGGGATGTTGTCTGGTCCCGCTGCTTTGCCACTCTTGATTTGTCTAATGGCCATGCTGATCTCTTCAATTGTTGGTGGGCCAATATCGATTGGGAGGTCTGTGGGTGCTGCCTCGATGTTGGGTGGGTTCAGTGGGGCTGGTCGATTCAAGAGTTCTTTGAAGTGTTCTACCCACCTGTTTCGTTGTTCTTCAATATCGTTGATTACTTTGCCTTCCTTGCTTTCCACTGGTCTTTCTGGTTGACGGTAATTTCCAGCAAGTTTCTTTGTTGTATCATACAGTTGTCTCATGTTTCCCTCTCTTGCAGCCTTTTCCGCTGTCATCGCTAAATCTTCCACATATTTACGTTTGTCGGTTCTGATGCTCCTCTTCACTTGCTTGTTTGCCTCTGTGTATTCGGCTTGTGCCTTGGTTTTTTCTGCTCTTGTTCGGCTGATATTGATTGCTACCTTCTTGTTCCTCCTTGCTTCAATTTTATCCAGTGTACCAACAGTGATCCATTCCTTGTGATGGTGCTTCTTTTGGCCCAGAACCTCCTGACATGTTGAAACGATTGCCTCCTTGATACCTTTCCAGCTGCTCTCTATGGTGGTTCCCTCTCCATTGAGTAGGTCATGAAAGGCCTCGAACCTGTTGCTGAGGGCTATGTTAAATTCGTTGAGTTTGTCAGCATCTCGAAGAAAGGCCGTGTTAAACTTTTGTGATGTTGTCCGCGCCATTGTCCAGTGCTTCTTGAGTTTTAGTTTCATCTTGGCGACCAGCAAATGATGATCGGATGCTATATCAGCTCCTCTTCTGGTTCTCACATCCTCCATCGTCCTCCTGAACTTTTTGTTGATGCAGACATGGTCGATTTGATTCTGTGTAGTGTGATCCGGTGAAATCCAAGTGGCTTTGTGTATGTTTTTGTGTGGGAATATGGTGCCACCTATGACCAGTTTATTGAAGGCACATAGGTTTGCAAATCTCTCACCGTTTTCGTTTCTTCCTCCCAGTCCATATTGTCCCATGACGTCTTCGTATCTAGTGTTGTCGTTTCCAACCTTGGCATTGAAATCTCCCATCAGAATTGTCAGGTCCTTGGTTGGGCACTTATCGAAGATTGACTGCAGCCTATCGTAGAATTGGTTTTTAGCGTCTTCATCGTAGTCGTTGGTAGGCGCATAGCATTGGATGATGTTCATTGTAATGCCCTCTCTCTTTGTTCTGAAGGAGGCTTTGATGATCCTCGGTCCATGAGATTCCCATCCTATAAGTGCATTTTGTGCTTTTCTAGACAGCATCAGTGCCACTCCTTGTGTATGTGGGGCATTTTCTTCGTCATGACCGGAGTATAACAGAAGTTCCCCTGAAGGCAGTCGTTGTTGTCCAACCTGAGTCCAATGTGTTTCACTGATTCCAAGCACCTCCAGGTTGTATTTTCTCATTTCTGCAGCAATTTGGAATACTCTGCCGGTCTCCCACATTGTCCGGACATTCCATGTACCTATAAAAATTGTCGCTCTGGTTGTAAGAAGGTGCATCGGCCTCATGACTTCCGAATGAACTCGGCTTTCATCATGAGACGTCATTATTCCTTCTACTCCCAGGGCAGAGTTTGAATGGTTTGAATGATTTTTTCTGGTTAGCGTTTTTTTAGCGAGTTGATTTTCTACGGGATGGGGTCGCTAACCCCATGCCCAACCCTCCTCCTTTACCCGGGCTTGGGACCGGCAGTAGCCCCTGGAGGAGCTACAGGCGGAGTTACGGTCACAAGGCGGTACTCCAGAATAAAATACTTCACCTCCATACTCATAAAATTTCTGAAAAATAGTATTTAAACATAGAAAAGCCGTTAAAAGCCTGAAATAAGCTTATTTGTCTGGACTCTTGAATTTATTGGACATTGTTGGTAGCAGTAGGTTGTTTTTATCAATGTAGTTACGGTACCAACTCAGAACAGAAGTCAAACAGAGGTCATGTAGCACTATTGATGTGTTATATTCGGAACGGAGAATCAGAAACAAACGTCGATTAAAAAACTATTGACTATCTACCCGGCTGAATCAGCACTTTTAACTCAGCGATTGAAGATTGTTGGATGCTAATAAAGCAAGGAATTTATTCGTATAATAACAAAAGATTTACTCGAACGGCAATCCCAGCCATCTGATCGAGCTGCAGATTTGAGCTGTGATCCCGGTGTCAGAGCTTCTTCAGTTAAGCGTTTACGTGATAGCTGACTGTAATTGTTAATAGTAAGTGCGTTTTTTGTGCTCATGGAGGTTTTGACGCAGTGAGTCGAGTATTGTTTCAGTTCTTACAGGCAACCAATCCTAGTTAAAAATGACGGTGAAGTTAAGTATCTTCAAGCATGCATCATTGAAATTTGATATTGGTGTTCCTAATCAATGCTAGATTGACTGACCGGTTAACCCTTCCGCGGGAAAGAATTATTTTTATGTGGTCTCACAGAATTTAATATAGATTAATTGGAACAAAACACAACTATGATAATTAGAAGTATTTGAATTGTAGTATGAACTAGTAATCCCAGGAATAACGCAATTTAATCAAGAAGTATCAGATGAGCCCGAACGAATGTATTGTATTTGGAATTCTAAATTACAACAGTCATCAATACTAAGAAGTCATTGATTTATTTAAACATCACATCCGCCACAGCTCGAATTGAAGTGTAGGTGTATCTGTCCGATGGTGTATTGAATGTACACTCTGTATTATCTAGAATGCACTCATTAGTATTAGAATTAACAACGGAAATTGGAACAGACTCACCTGGGTTCTAGAATTGTATACAATCAGCATGTCGGTTGTGTAGTGAAACCACTGATATTTAGAATTTGCATCATATACTTTCCAACAATATCCTCCCCCACGAAATAATGTTGGGTCCTTATGTCGCAATGTTTTAGCCAATATGACATTTCCAATTTGCAGTATCTTCTCAAATCTCACGCATCGCCTACTGTATGTGAGTATTTGGGAATAAACACTGATATATAATTTGAGGTATTCCATCATGTGACTTTGACTTGAATAAAAATCATGATACATATTCTTTTTGTTATTCATATTAGAATACACAGATGGATATGCATTGATATATGTAATTAATACATGTGATTCAATTAGGCTTGATTTACCTGCGAAACAATCGAATGGACAACATTCATCTGCTTCATTCTCATTAGGATAATCTTGGAGTAGATTTGGATTCTCTGTCTGTACACACTTCACTTCTGGGCAAACTGTTTCTCTGATTGCTTCGGGAAATTTCGCTTTCCCCTCTGATTCATCATACCATTGACTAGGGATTCTACTCAACAAACATTGTTCGTGAGAATATGCATAATCTGATACAATAACATGAGAAATCCGATAAGTTGGTTGATTAAAAATTTTTGTCTCACAATGATTCTAGGTTTCATTCAACTCTGAACTGTTATGTGACGTTATACCACTTCTAGATAAAGATAAATGATCATTAGAAGCATCCATCTTAGCATTACTTTCAGCGAAATGAACCATAGTATTACAAACTGACTGGATGTGTCCAGTTTTACCACATTTAAAGCATTTAGAATTAAGAAATATACATGAATTACATGGGTGAAACTTGCCGCAGAACATGCATTTACTAAACTCGTGCTCATCATCATGGACTGTTTCACCACTCAATGAAGTATTGTCTGAATAACTTTCATTACGCATCGAACTACGACGACTGTTTGAATAAGTGGAATTCCTGATGTTCTGACGAGTCATTTTATCGGATTTTCCTTTCTTACCGCATTCGGAATTTGTATACTTTACATGATCCAACAGTAGTTGCTTGAGAGTTGCATAGGGGAGTGAAATCGGTTTGTCTGGAAGTGCCAAAATCTTTATAAGGCTGTATGCTTCTTTCCCGATGAATGTAAGGAAATGGGCCACAATATTAAAATCCTCATCATCTTCTTTGGTCATAGCCCAGATTTCGAACCTTTCCATGTACTCCTCAAAAGCATTAAAATCTGAATTTATATTTAACCGTTCCATCACAGGCTCAGTCGCGACGCCAATATGATAATTAGAAGTATTTGAATTGTAGTATGAACTAGTAATCCCAGGAATAACGCAATTTAATCAAGAAGTATCAGATGAGCCCGAACGAATGTATTGTATTTGGAATTCAAAATTACAACAGTCATCAATACTAAGAAGTCATTGATTTATTTAAACATCACAACAACCTAAAAGCATTTTTGCGCGGAAACGCAAGGCCCTGGAACTTTTAGCTTTAAACATAATTCATTTAGCTCTACCCATGTTTTGTTCCAAATGCAAACGTTTGATTAAACGAATATATCGACTGAATGAACTGGAGTTTTAAACATGACACATCTCATCTTTTGATATAAATTTACGCTTATTTGTACTTATCAAAATTATCTGGAGCTCGCTGTTTCAAATTAGTGATAAAATTCGTATTTAATCCTGCTTGTCAGACAGTTTTCAGAGCTATTACTATGTTACAGAGGAGAGAAGATTAATCGTACTTATGATGAGTACATGATTGATCAGCACCAATGTTGAAGACCTACAGAACTATTTATTTCGTAGATTTGTTTACCGCTGCAAATATTAGAAGTGCTTTTAGTTTTTGATTTCAAGAAGCCCGAACGATATCCAGGTCTCTTACGTGAAGCTCGATAACTGCCATCTTAGAGACTGTGCAGTATGATGCTAAATGTAAGTTTTTGCTCATTCCATCTTCATCAGGATTGTGGTGGAAAGCGGATAACAAAATATTGCAGACTTTATACTGTTTGATCATTCTTTTTTCAATTTTTCCTTTCGAACCCGTCTTATAGTTGTAAGCGCAAATGCTTGCTGCAGAGAAGCTTGTAATTTCCTCTAAATTTCTGATAAATTTTCAGATCATTTAACTGAAGTGGAGAAGGCAGGTTCGAAAAAATATATGGCTCATAGTTTACCAAGATTGCTGTACGACCATGCTAAAACTGTGAAAACTGTTGCATTTGATGCTTTTGATTAAAGTCGAAGTATTTCCCTCCATCGACAAATGAATTCTTCCCTTCACGTTTATATATGGCGAATCGAACAAAATAAATAATTTATAGCTAGTTATTAACGACAAAAGAAAAAGCTGTATAACTTAAGAAACGTTTTGTCACTAGCGTGTTCTTTAGAAGAAAAATGATGTAAACCTACACTTGTTCCCGAGGCTTATCTGAAATTTCTAGATTTTCGTTTAATGTCATTTATTTGGTGCAATTTGCTTGAATGAAAAGTGTAACAGTGTTGGCTTTTTTAGATCAAGAGTTTGCCATACGTGTGGACTTACATTATAATTAGTATGACCAATAGCTGATTGATTTCATTCTAGGTGGGTGTTGTTTTAAAAACGGGCTAATTTCTGGAGATTTTCTATAGTTACGTAACCGATACGAAAGGATATTGTAGAGTCTTGAGAAAAAGTTTCTTTCGCTTTCATTATTCTGGCAGGACAATAAGTTTTCATTAGACCCTTGTTAAAAATGTTAAAAGGCATCTTGAGTGTGAAAAACCTTAGTGTTTTTCACTGGTTGTTTTTACTTTGAGAAGATAAAGTATCAACAATCACATTATTTCGAATAACCGTAAACGTCAGAAAAATGTATGGATAAGATAAAGGATACAATTCATTGAACGCGAAAGAGAAAGTAGCTGGAAGCAATGGAAAACCCCAAATATGTGGTTTATGTTCTTCGAAGCTCATCAATAAGGTTTGTTTGAAATATTGGAAGATTAATAATTCCCGTCTCATTTGCATTCATATCATCCAGTGTCACAGTTAATGAGGTCGCTATTAAGGTACTCGGGTAGCAACTGTTGCCCTTCAAAAATGAGACTTTCACAACTATTGATTACTGACTTTTGGCGGATGTTCTATTTGTCTAGTGACCGGTAGTGGTTGAATTAAATCGTCCAACTTACTACCGGGTAAACAGTTAATACTAAAAACTTTATTGTTTAAGTAGGTTCGATAACGTAAGGTTTTTTAGTTACAAGTCTAAACTGGTGTTGTTTATGATAAAGGTAATATTAAATGAATTTGTAGGAGTTTCATTCATGGAAGGTTTGCTTTTTTTTAACAAAAATTTTATTTTTACAATAATCTATAGAGTTCGTTTTATTTTCATTATAGAATTTATTATTGTATAATAATAATGAACAGATAATTAAATTTTTGAAAAACGATTTGATTTTGAAAACTGAATTACGGTACTAAGTAATACTGAAAAAAACACATGTCAAACTACATTAGCCATCAAATTAAACGCCCGGATATTGTCAGGAGAAATCAAGAAGAAGCACGAAGCGCCACACTATACATTTTAAAACAGTATGGACCAACATTTTACTTGCTACAAGACGGTTTAAAGCAAAAATATAAGGTGGGTTTTAAACGCTTTAAACCTATTGCATTAGGTACAACTTGGTGATGTTCATACTTGCTCGTGTGGTAACTTTACAAAGAATCGTGAACTATGTGTTCATTTATGCTGGATCTTAATTAGACGTTTCAAAGTAGACCCAAATAATCCTGGTATGTGAAAAATAGGTTACTGACTTTTGTTTAGTATCATGGCAACCTGGATTAGTTGAACGAGAAATATCAGCTCTTTTAGATGGACAGCACTCAGTAATGAATAATGTCACAAATGTGACTGGGCCTAAACTTCTGAATGAGGATAAATTTGATGAAAAGGTATGTGTATTATGTACTTTTAACTCAGTTAGCCTTCATATAACCTACAACGCAAAATTGGAGAAAACGATATTTGCCCAATATGCCAGGAATACCTTTTTACTCAAATACGACTTCCAGTAACATTTTGCCGTAAAAATTGTGGTAACAGTCTACATATACGGTGTATGAAAGTATGGACAGAGTATCAAAGAAAGCAAAACCCATTAGGTAAGCAGAATTTTGAAAAACTGTCTCTAAGATAAATTATTCATTTTGAAATTATTCAGACTGAAATTTTAAAACTGTAATATTCATTGATGATCAGATTCTCTGGTTTTGTAGGAGAAAAACTACTGATTTTTATTAATCACTATCATTTTCAAGGTCATTAAAATATGAGTTTATTAATATTAAGTATGTATGTTAATAAGAAATCATTAATAATCATGTTCTAGAAGAAGTTTCGTACTTACTCTGTAAAATTTCGCACAGACTTCTGCAGAGATTACGTGTAAATCAAATTTGGAAGTAAAATTAAGCAACTTATCTTTAGGTCCGATCATATCCACTAGACGATTGATAATTTTAACTTTTTGCATGATAAGATTAGTTTAGTGTTGAAAAGAATGACTTCTCATCTTATTTGACTGGCAACACGTATGAAACCTTTCTTTTTAAAAAAATGGAATGCTTGTTGTACTTGCGCGTAAAATCAACTACCGGTTAGATGACGAGCGTTTTGACAGATAAACTTATATTTATAATTCGAAATTCTCTTATAATAAATTGTCGTGCAAAACCTGGATTATTTAGAATGGTTATATTAAAAGACAGTTAACCACAGGTCTTACAATGGTGACGATACAAAACGTAACGTAAACATGATGAACTAACTTGTAGGTAATCCTCAGATTATTTTTATGTACGCAAGTCACTACTGAATTTACTTTAAGACATCGCATTGGCATTCACTGGTCTAACGAGATCTCTAACTTAGCAACTGATCAACTAGCAAAAACAGAGCACAGAACGCATTTGAATTAATCGGTTTATAAAACTACTGTTACCAACAAGGTGTTCATGTATTTGGTGGTAATTGAGTTTTATATTTGGTAATATACATATGTTTACCTTTCATAGAGTTTTACCAACTACAGGCATTATAGTATGAATGAAACTGACTGATATTTTGAAATTCAGCCCTTCAATTTTACTCAAATTAATAAAGATTCACAGTAACAAGATTGCATAAAGCGCACTGTAAGTTTTACTTCTCTTTAATTTTACTGAAAGGCTTTCCAAATAGAATCAATAGTTCTATGAATAGTTTAACTAGTTTTTTGATTCAAAACTTCTTAATCAAGGTTTGGTTATGGTTTTTCTGTCATAAGATGACCAGAAGGATGAAAGAAAAGGTTTATTTTCCGTAACAATAATTTTATCTCCACCCACGAGAAGAAACGTCAGTCAGCGGAAGTATATATGCACATAAAGACAGATTTACAGACTTAGGTAGATCACAGATTAGAAAATGGTTGCTGCGAAGTTATACAGTTCAAAACAACTCAGAATGGAAAATTCGGAAAAAGAAAAATGCATATTTTTGTATAAGAGTGAAAAATCAGGCAAGCCTACACATGAAAAGTCCATAACAAATATAGTTTCTTTCGTTATTTTGGAGAATACTCTTGTAAAACAGTTTGAACCAGAATTCCTTTCACGATTGGCATTCAGTAGTATTGTCTATAATCCATAGAGTGATGGCTTTCAAAATGTTGAACTTGTCGTTCTTTTTATGTCTCAAAGAAGGCATATAGTTGTTATCTTGTTGTAAAGTTTTAATCTGGAGGATTCACGTTGATGATTGCTACACATAGTTGATAGGTTGTCAACATGCCCTAACTAAGGCACCTTTTATTCAAACTCTTGTTTGAGGTATCTCATCTTTGGATGATAATGTACACTCAAGAAATACTCCTGTACTACTGCATCAGTTCGGTGGTACAGAGTATTGTCGGATGTAAACTGAATATTATCTAAACACAAAGATAGTAAGTGTTTGGACTAGATGTTGATCGATTCAAAATTTTAGAGTTCTGCTAAATAATGTTCATGGTTTCATCAAGTGATAGTTTAACGGCCATTAATGTTATATCAAAGGGAACTCTTCACGTTTCGCACATTTGTGTTTCATTTTGCCACTTGACGAACTGTATTTTCTCACAGTTTATCCAGCTGCTTGTTGTTAAACAGGTTCTTATCCAAAGTTTGTCTAGCAGAGACACTATTGATAAAGCATATTAACACACTAATAGTAAAGGTGTTGCTAAAACATAGCTTTTGTGAATCCTTGCCAAATAATATGCAGGTATTCACTTTGAAATATGTATTAAAATGAACATCAAGTAAGTCTTTGCTCAGAGTCTCTTTTGTATTGGTTGTATGTAATTAGTTAACTGTGAATTATAAGATGCATATAGATAGAAGTGAGTGAAATATCCATTGCAAAGTTCCATTTAGTAACAATATTGTATACTATTATTATCAACATGACGGCAAATAGTTTACGTCAAAAGGATTCTACAAACTGTCACTTTTTTCATACTTTTATGCCAGGATTAATGGATTACGTAAAATGTCCTATTTGTCGAGAGGATTTTGCACCCTTACATGTTCTTATTCGGGAATTTACAGAAAATTTGAAAAAAGATAATAAAAAGTCTACCGAATCGAAACATATCCATATTATGACCATTATCGGTCAAGCAAACGATGCACAGAGAAAATTGAACATAGAAACAATGCGAACAAAGCATTCAAATACACGATGTTTATCATGTTTATGCTCACCAATATTAGGTAATATTTATCGTTGTGAAATATGCTATCAATTAGAACAAGATGAAAATTTAAATCCATTTTTGTGTTCACTATGTTTTCGTTCTGATAAGCATTTACAACATGATCTATATGTTTATAGAGAGGTATGATAGTTTTAATTGTGTTGGTATAAAATTTTCCTTCTCTAATTTAATTGAAGCTTAAATATACTGATTTAGTGTTAATGAGGTAGTCTTATGGAAACTAAAAAGAAGTTGAAGATGATTCCGGTCACTAAATTATAAAAGATGAGCACCCATATGCCAGAACTCCTGGTCCCACGAAATCCAGACCAAAACGTGGCACAAATCCATGAAGTCACTGACAAGTGGATTGAGCCATGTCGGTAGGTGTAGACCACCTGGTTGAGATCCGCGAGATGACAACAACCGATGGTTAGAGACCTTGGATGACACGGCTCGAAATCGTTTGCAGTGGTAAAGGTGCATCCACTCCTCGTGTTCTCCCAAATTCTAATCTTCTGAATTCTTCATGTCTCTATCTTTTTTCTCTTTCTAAATTTATTTCACTGGATTGCACTTCTTGAATAACATCTTCAAATTCTAATCTTCCACAATAATACTCATACTCTTACTAATTCTACCACTATGGGATTTGAATCGAGAACTGCATCTCTGTGCTAATGTGGTATGGCAACTCGAACTGATATACGTACGTACGAAGTTCTACGTTGTGACTGACTGAATGACTCTGTACTTGATGATAAAAATCTTCGAATTGTTAAAAAGTTGTTAAGCCAATAAAATTTTAAACAAGAAAACTGATCGTCAATGGACATAATTGACTGTTAAGACTTCAGGAATCTTGATCTGCAATTTAGCCATCTCTAGTTAGGTATCATTGTCGAACTGGATTTTCGTGATAAATTAAGTGTTATCATCATTTAGAAATTAGTTTAATTGACGGATAAATCCTTTCTGTGCCTAGTACCGATGAATTTCCTTCATTAGTTTTAGTCCACTATAAAATTTAAATTAAACCCATAAAACATTTGTCGACAATATTGAAGTAACGTGACTGCGTTCTCCTAATAATATCTAGGTATGTTTTTTGTATGCAATCAATATTGTTGGCTTTCCCAGTTCTTTAGTTAGGTAGTTTAAATAAATAGTTTACTTACTACTCCAATTGTTTAAAACTCAAAAAATAATTTGTATTGTCTGATTGTGTACTGAACAAGTGAATAAATTAAAATGTTTGGCACTATTCACCTGAAAAACAACATGTATGACCGATAGTTATTGTTCTATATGACTACTATTTCACTGACAATCTTTCCAAAAGTTGATTGAATTATTTAACCTTCATAGAAGTAACTTTTGCATGGTATACGTTTTTAAAAATTCAAAACAGAAGCCAGTTAGAACCGAATTACAGCTAACTATATCATATAACATATTTGTTAGGACTACATGATTGATATGTGATCAATGGAAATTCAGGCACAATAAACCCATTTATTGCAAAATATGGGAACCATACATTAAGTACGTCATCTGCACAACTTCTTTGAATTGTTCTTTGCATAGTCTATCATACTTCTAATCGTGTCATTCTGATCTATCTTTGCTTTCCTTCCTCTTCTACTTTTTCACACTTCTGCGAATTATCCTACTTCCGATTCCCGCTACGTACTACATATGTCTGTTCACATAAGTAGTACATACAACATGTAGTTCATGTAAATTGCCATCTCTCCTTTTGATAGCATGTAATTTGGCATAAGATCAGCGGCAGAAAACTTGTTCTCTTAACAAAAACACTTGACAGATCAAAACGACCGAGGATTACTGATATATTTGAATTTTCATAATCTTGCTCAGGTTTCAATTTATGATTTTCATATTTTCAATAAATATTTTATATCCAACTAAATAAATAAAACAAGTTTTCAATTTTGTCCCTAAGACACCACACGGCAAATGGCTTGAAGTACCACCTAACCGAGGTGCTATTATAAATGTCTCTGGACAGTTAGTCAACAAAGTTCAAGAAAATAGTGAAAACCTTCAGTTAAGGTATGTTTAATAATGATATTGTGAAAAGTCCCTTTGTATTAGTTTACTAAAGCGACAATACTCTTAAAAATGACTCACTTACTTGCTTGGATAATCGAGGAAGTTGGTTCCCTTAAAATGAATACCACTATTAAAAATACGGCAGTAAATGTTTATGGCTTAGAGAAAATGTTAAATAAATTTGGTATGCTTTCCGCAAAGTTTATTTATGACAGAGCTTTCGATAACATGTTAATCTTTGTTGTCAATGTAACTTTACATAGAAATCTCCACAAAAGTACTGAATCTTTTTCATTCCGGTTGATTGAGTTTATTTATTCTCAATCATGGATGTATATTCTAATCTGTAATTGAGCTTTTTGATAAATTCAACAACATTCGTTTAGTCATTTACGATTGTGTGGATTAACACAATGACCTTCACCGACTGATCGCTTTCTTCGGTCAGAATCGAATCAATCCAGAATAAATCATGAATGTTTTTTTTTAAAGTTTACTACGGTATTCACCATACTTTCAAAAAGTATTGTGATATGGAGTTAATGTCTTTAGAATTCTCCAAGTATTCTACATTTTCGGTTCACGAATAATGTTCACAGATTTGAGCCATTCACTTAGTATTGTTTGTTTGAATCTTCCCATCGATGTGTTAGGACTGCAACTGGTCAGTCTCTAATTGGCATATGTGCATACTGTGCGTATTGCCTCGATATAGCCTTGATTCACAAGCATGATAAGCAAAGATGGATAGTGGCTAGCAGTGGAATCCAGGACGCGCGTTTCGTCCTATTTAGGACATCACCCAAATGATGTAAATTTGAAATAGATATCTCAGAATACATTTAGTCTCATTACGTCTTCTGAACTACCTGTCATCTGCATAGTATAAAAGTCGCATATAATCGGTTTTGATTGCTAATTTTCTTGAACATCTGAATTTAACTTATGCTGTATGTAAACATTTCTAGTCCCTGTCATAAATACTTATTATTTACCTATATGATGAAGTGAACATCATCCTAACTATACTTCATCTATTATTTCAGATATATATAAGATGATACTTTTTTCACTTTAAGTCAATAGATACCTTAAATAACACCTTGTGAAATAAATGCACTACAATAATAATTTAACTAAGACAAGAATTTTGACCTGTCTTTTCCTCAAAGCTTATACATTATTGCTTTAATAACACGTTTCAACATTTCGTTTTGAATGCAAAATAATCCTAATTGGTTCCTAAATGCAACTACTTTAGTGTTTTTCATGATCGTTTCAGAAGTTATGACATCCTGGATTAACACTTAAAACGATTTTGACTGGGTATTTTTTAATTTTTTTAAGCTCAACAGAAAAATTCAACCATTTGTTAATTGACGAAGAATGTAAACCTCTTCAATTAGCCGAACTAGCACAAATTCGTCAGTGGACAATTAGAATTCCAAAAAATCATTTCGATTTCACCTCGTTAAAATCGTCGGATAATGAAACTAATAATAATAATAAAATTAAATCTGTGAAAAGAAAGTTATCGACAAGTTTTAATTTATTTTCGGAGCGTTCAGGGACATTATTTTCGATGGGATTGTTGTCACCAGGTCGTCAATGCCTTCTTTGTTTAATGTTTTTTAAAGTAAATGATAAAGTTAGACGACTGTCACCTGGCTGTCAACATATTTTTCATTCACATTGCATTGATCCGTGGCTACTTCATAAGTGAGTTAGTCAATTAATAGTATAAAAGTTAATTTGTACGTATCATTAGTTAACTGTTGAAAATAAGATAGGCAGGTGATATATGTGTGTATATCTAAAAAAGAAATTTCTATTTTCGACGAGAACATTTACTAAAGCTGGATAATCGTATTTATAGTGGATTGGTTGAAGTTACACATTAACACCATCAGATATCGGCTTAGTGGTCTAGAGGTTAGTTGTTCGCGTGCGAGACCGAAGGTCCTGGTTTGCGGGTCCCAGGTGCGGGATCGTGGATGCGCAGTGCTGAAGAGTGCCATACTAGGACGCAACGGCCGTCCAGTGCTTCCACATTTTCAATGGTGGTCTAACATTGATCCACTCATGATATCAATCTAACATTTATAGTTGTTTTACACACAATAATCTGCTACAAAACAGACTGGTGTTAGATTATTGACAAAGTGTTCGGAAATTTCTGATATCAGAAAAACATTTTATTATGTTTTCAAGAGTGATAAGAAGTAGTAAAATGAAGACAGTTTGCAAATGAAAAGCGTAATGGTTAGTTTTTATCTTAACGAATTTCAAGAAGAAAGAGTAATATTAATGTATTATGTATATGAAGATAAGAAGGTTTATTGTTATGATAAAATGAAATACCAAATATGTTTCTTATGAATGAGCTCACGAACAGATTAAGGCTCTCTCGTGAACAAGTTTCTGGTACACCTTACATTTGAATTCAATTGTTTGATCTGGTAGATAATTTGAAAACTTTGAATGACAATGCATAGCCAGAATTGATATATCGTTTAAGTATCAAGTTACTAATTGGCATAAGTTGTCTTTCTAATAGGTGGGTAGGTAAATTCTCACGTATGTACATAGAAATAACATGATTTCTCCATTCGATACTATTTACCTACAAAGCGCAAGTAAATTCAAGGCTTATCTAGTTTTATGACTAACTAAATCTGAATGTACTGTATTTTTCTAATCACATGAATGCTTTAAAAGTTATTAGTTTGTTTTTATTCTTTATCATATTAGGTCATCAACATGTCCAATTGATAACACACCTATTCGTCCTGAAAAAACAATCAATAAAAAGTCGTCGACAAATCGTACACCAAGACAAAGAACTGATGAAACGTTGAATGACAATTTGAGTGAATTAAAAATTTTTGCAAAGCATATTGAAGGTAAACCGAAAATTAAAGTGAACCCTGCTCATAATAGCTCAAAGAGCACTAGGGATTCATTTCGAAGAAAACTTTAACTGAAAGTAAGTCATAATAAATTTATGCACACGCACAAAAATATCACCCCGATTGACCTCTTATACAAGAGTCATGAAAACGAATGTTTGTATTGATAAGAGCCTAAATTGTATAACCCAAATAACTTGTATAAATCTTCCTTTGTAAATATAACTTGATAATGTTTTTTGAACAAATTTTATTCAATCTGTAATAGTCTGTAACATCGGAAAACTCTGATATCCTTGACTATAATAAGATTTGAATTTAGTATTCTCTTCTTTAAACAGTCGATTATCACTGATTAGACTGCTATATTATAACATTTACCTCGTGGTTATACAAACCTTGTAAGCTTATGTATAAATAATATAAGGTTGTGGCTGGTGAAATAGACTATGTTACACGCAGGTGTGCCATGCCTCAAAACCCTTATCTGAATTAATCAGATCTTCATACCAGAGGAAGTGATAAGGATGACATATATATTTCAATTAAATTTTCTGTGGTCGTCCCTAGTAATATCATTTCTTCTAACCATTAGTTGTGGGTATTTTTAAGTTGTTCATACGCTGAATAATAATTTCCAACTTTAATATTTACCTAGAAATCAGATTATGTAAATAGTGATGCATCTTATGGCCACCGTTTACAGAATAGTATCACCTTGTCTGGTCAGTAGTGCTGATCATTTCCTACCAAGATGTTTCTATTTTTGGCAAAGATCATTACGATACAACCTCAGCCTCAAGGAATCTGATGCTTTCAAGTGATGCTAAATTCATTTTATCTAAAAACTACATTGCTTTGTTAAATCGCTTGCCCTACTGATTGCAATGTACCAATTTATATAAAGAAATTGGTTGTGCATTGGACAACACAGGTTTACTCATTACCCATGGTTGGATGAAATGTTAGACTACGTTTCACAAAAATACTTGACTACACTATGGACATAAATTGGCCCAAAAGTTTCAGAGTAAGAAATTATCATGTGGTGCCAGCAGAGTCCCTAAGTGGATCAACATAGTCATTTGTAAATAGTAAATGAAGGGATTGGAAATACACAGATGATCTGTGTGTAGTGATTATTTGGATTTTATGCAACATGTATCTTCTATAGTCATAGGATAGAAGTTGACAGTCTTTCTTTGTTTATTTCATCATTCATTCATTATTATCCAAAATGTTATGTAATAGAATATTTGAAGAGGAAATAAGTTTCTTCTCATATCTTATTTTTTATATCAAGATAAATATGCATATTTAATTTTTTTTCACCCATGATATTGAAATTTTATATCCACTTCTAATGTATTAATAATAATGCTGCTTATAATTTTTGGTCTTTTAGCCATCAACTTATTGGTAAACAGAACCATGATTGTACAACATCCAACTGAAATACATGTGAAAATTAAAGAATTAAAAAGTCATTCAAGCGAAATTTATAATCCATTTGAAGATAGAAAACTATAATATTTGGACCATATTGTTATTATATTAACATGATGCGTTTAGTATCAATAAAACTTTTTTTACTTCGTAAACACATTACTTTACTACTGAATAAGATTGTTAGTAGCTTGTAGATTTCAAATATAATAAGTTGACCATACATGGCTTAAAAGTCATAGCTAGCATTAAATATTTCGAGATATTTATGAAACACAGTAAAATGTATTAGTGTCACTTTGAATTTAGATTTAATTATTTAATAAAATAATTGATCAATATCTTTTGTGATGACCCTATGAATGAATTTGGCATTTGGTTGACTATTCCCGATTTTTCCGTTATAATTATTTCTTGCCATGTCTAAAAAGTTTCATATACAGATATATTCACTTCACTTTACTGCCGCTTCTCTTATTTGATATTTTTGTTTTACAAATATCACCTCCGACTCAATTTTATGACTGTCTGTATTTGTCTTATTTAATTGAAGATATCATCTTTATTGTTCTTTGAAGTGTTTCTGGTGAAGAACTGAGAATAAATTTCATACATTTTCGAGACAATTTTGACCAATTTACCCTTGAGATTATGACAGCTGAATTATATATGTCTTCTTTTTGGTTTAATTTTGATAAGATTTTAATTCATTATTCAATATCAGCTTGTATAGAAAGAAGTCTAACCTTCTATATGCGTTGTAATTACACGAAGACGTATTTTCTAGTATGAAGTGGAATGACACATTACAAGATAAAAATATGAAAAGTCACTAGTTTAGAGACAACAATATGAAGTTAGTTCATGTTTATGAAAACTGTTTCATTTCATTTTATTACGTGAATCAACTTCAATAGATGGATATTTCTCATTAGATTTTCACTAATGCGAATTACAGCCAACTTTATCATACATATTACACACATATTACACATACTGTTTCGATTAATAGATATTTCATCAGTAAAAAAAGTTTGTTAATTGTCTACTTTATTTGCAGTATTGAGTAGTTAACTTCACAAAAGAGAGAAGTCTGGTAAGATGTTATTATGTCATTTGATGTTAGGAAAGACTTAAGGATAAGCATAGAAGTTAAATTTATCTAGGAGATGATCACAGAGAAATTATAGCAGTTCTTCACATACAATTACCAACCTTTTCAGAAAATCTATGATTCAGACGTAGGAACAGGTAACTGAGTGCTGGTTTCCAGAATATGATTTGTTTCTACTATTGTGGGTTTCATCAGAAGTACGAACCAACGGCCCCATTACATGGAATCGGATTCAGAATCTTCGGTCTTACTCATGAACGCTTAATCTCAAGATCACTGAGCCAGTATCCAGTGGTATACATGTCAAATCTCAATCAAATCACGAAACTGAGCTACTCTAATCCATCGCCTGAGTTACATAACTGTCACACACTCTACATAGTTGAACAACTAGGTTAAACGACAGATCTATTTCTTTATATTTTGCCATAATTGTGACAATTCTGTCATCAATCTTCTCATGATTCAATACACAATTGCCTTCTTTTTTATTAATTATAAATCCAACCTGCTTATTCTTGGAGTCACTAAGATCAAGGTTACTGCTTTAAAATGAGACCTCTCGTCTACTGTTACTCTGGGTGATGCTCTCATTTCCATTAATATCATTATGTGGTATTTGCGTCCACTTATTTGGTTGACTGTCTCATGGAGTCTTCACGCGGGACCCTTTTGTTTACTCTTTCATAAACCCCTTAAAAAGTCACATGCTAACAAGTATTGGTGTATAATATTTGTTTTCTCATAATCTTTGTAAACCTTAAGTGCAGACATACGATTCGAATGAAACAACCGAAACTCATCTGTTTTGTACCCGTAACCATTCTTGTTCTCTTAAAATAAACAAATTAAAGATACTGTAAGTAGTCATCAACTCAAGCGATCAATTGAGTGGTCTAAACAGTGATACAATACTTCTATTATGACAAAGTCTATTTTCCATTATAAATGTTCCTTCTACCACACTGTTTGTTCAAGATGAAGGATGAGATCAATTTTAAGGGATTCGGCAGTTTCATTTGAATACGAATCTTGTTGGGGAGTCACATTCATACTTTGAAAAGGAATAAAAAGTTACTACACTATTTTATCTGAAACATATCAAAGGGAAGTAATGTTTTGAAAAAAACGGAGCTTCTGTGACTAGTTTGAATCTTACATGGTTTACGTGTTTTTGTTAAATCATATTAGAATTCGGCAAGGGATAGTTATTAATTATTTGACTTCGTTTTGCCGAATATAACATCAAAACAGGGAATTGTGGGAAGAAATTCATATTTCCGATGTTTAAAGTAATCATTGTGATACAGGTTTTGAAGGGCTAATTTCATAATTTGCGAAATTTATGTTCGCTTCTTTAAAATCACAGTTGCAAATTCAGTGAAATTTGAGTTGTAAACTTACTTGATTAGTCTGCTACCTCTCGTGAGACATAGGTTGCCGATCAGAAACCCTCAACTAACTCTTTTCGTGTGTCTTGCGTAGAAAATTGCTTATAAATACATGTACCCTTTTGATTACAGTTGTAGTATTTCTCCAAGTTTCAGGTCTGTACAATGAAACTTTTTTAACGTTGATGTTGTTGATTTTAACTTTGGTTTTGAGAGTTCCAGGTATTCTTTGATTATAGGAAAGCTGCTCTAGCCTTAACAATTCATATTTCAAAATTGTCAGACTCATGTTTACCACTGTTGCTGCCCTGGTAAGTAAAGGCTTCCACCTCTTTCAGATCATCAATATCAAATTAGATTTAACTGTAGCTCACTGTGTTGCACTTTGTAATCTTCCTTTTGCTTGTGTGAACGTTGAGGCGTATTTCTGAGAAAGGTGTTGCTAAGCTGGTTGTCCACGTCTGCATATGTCACAGCGCATACGATATCACGGACTGTCATCTGAGAACTTCAAATCATCCAGATGTCTTCAGATTGTCCACTATAATTCACGATTTCCTGGACGCGGAAGCTTTCATTATCTAGTCGACCACCAGAAAGAAGTCAAGAGTAAACACCCTTGTTAGACGTCAATTTATCACTTGGAATGCATCTGTGGGTTGTCCTCAATTCAAGTCATTGTAGTTCAATCCCTCATTAGAGTACTGTGCAGTCTCTAATTTTGGGGCGCACTGAATCGGGAGCGCTTTGTTGAAATTTTTGACCGGTGGTGATAGTAGTTTGATGCCTCGATAATTCTCGCACTTACTATTATCTACTACAAACGGGATCTAGATCAGATATTACTCTTACCAGCTTTCTGTTACTTGTTATTTCTTCAAAATCTTTATGTAAAGAAATTTATGCATATTTGAAGTCGCCTCTATGTCTGAATTCAGTGCTTCAGCTGGTCCTACTGAAACTATTGAGTTGGCGTTACTGATCTGTAGTATGGTCTTGATAACTTTTATTGCGTTGTTGTCGCTTATGGAGACATTTAGGTATTTGTCTAAACATAGCTTTTGATAAAAGTGCAGCCTTTCACAAAACTGACCTTCGTTTTCTTCGCTGCTATCGTTTGTTGGTGCATAGCTCTTGATGGAATTCATTGTAACCCTCTCCCTCATTATTTTGAAGGGTACTCATATTATTACAGATCCATGGGTTGACGATCCTGTAAGCAATTTTCATGCATCTGCTGGAAGCTTCCGTCAAATTATACTTTATACAGGAAACTTCCTCTCGAAGTTAGTTTATTCTATACAGATTGTATCCAGTGAGTTCAACGCGTCCTAAACACAACAGATTGTATATTATCATTTTCATTTACCTACATTAACCGTAAATTGGAAGTATTTATATTGATTTTTTCCCTGGTTGTTAGAAAAGGCATTTACTTAGTTGTTTGACACCTCTTTGATAAATTTTATATGAGTTCTTTCATTTTTTATGATTAGTGGTAAATCTATGCAGCAAAAGGATTTTCGCAAGTTATTATTTTTAGTAAGCAGAGAAATACATTTAGCCTCAACTTTCATCAAGTTATAGATAATTTGTGTCTTGATTGCCTCTCAGAATGAGACACTCAATAATGTAAGCTGGAATCCCACATGGAGTAGTTTCCTCAAAATTGCAACTACTTTTTGCTAAACGGTACTAATTAGTTAAATCAGTAGGTCTACGCTTTTCTACAGACCATCAACAACCACCTTACCTGAAAACATACTGCAGGTAATATTTGTTCACTGAGACTAGAAGCCATATTAAGACATAATAAGTAGGATTTGATCTGCACTAAGGACTAGATAAACAACACGATCATTTTATTTCATTTGTTTGATTTCCCAATGTGTAGACACAGACTAGCGATATGTCACCACCTATATTAGTGAATACAAATAACCACTGACACAGTCTGAGTGAAAAAATGTCAAAATTTCTGATTATCCTAGATCAACCACCTCAAGGCTATCGTTTCATTTCGATTCATCCATAATTCACCATTTAAATCAGCGATGAAAGCTTTAAACAGTTTGAGCTTCAACAAACAGAAGACTTGAATCACCCTTGTCAAGGTTTGATGTAGTTTTATAAACTGTAGATATATTTTATACAGATACATCACTTATTATTTGAACATGTAAGTCTAAGTTTTTGACAGTAAATTTTTCCCATTGAAATTGTTCCTATTGATTATTTTGCCATTTATTTGTGTTCACCCTACCTGATATTATGAAAAAGAGAATGGAGAAATAAACATTCATTCATGCATGATTTGTTTATTACTTACCACAGATTTTAGTAGGTTGTAACCAGAATAATATGGAATGATACGCTTGAATTATTCAAAAATATATCCGTAATGAGTTCCTTTTTTTACTCAATTGTAGAAATACATTTTACGTAAATCCTATTTATACTTTTTTGTCCAATGTCTATGCATCAGTACAGCCTATAAAGGTATAGATTTCCTACCAAAAAAATCATTTAATAGACATTTTTACCAATAAAGTAATTATAAATGCAAATCTACTTCCTTTCCCTAAACGTATGATCACCACTTGTTTTAAAAATGACTCCTTTCACAAATATAACTAGTTAATATAAAAGAATATTTATTCACATTGTACACACAAATAATCTTCATTAGATCATTCAATTCGTTAAAACACTAAGTCTAGTTTTCACTTTGATGACAAATAAACTTTGAAAAGCTTTCTTCTAATTACAAACTATTATTTAAAATTATGATGACTTTATTTAAAATCCATAACCAGTGAAGTTGATTCATTTAAGGGATAAGAAAGATAGAAGAGATGATACTGGATGACGGTATTATTATTTCATGAATTGACCAAAGTTAGGAACCCTTAACAATAAATTTTGATTAAACAATCTAAACAGATTACAATACCTGAAAGACTTAAGAGTAATAGGTTCTGTTGACGATTATCAATCCAAGACAAAACAGTTGTCTTGTAATCCATGTTTGTAAGTGATCAAGTTAATAGTAAAAACTATAGACATGTCCTTCAGTAAAATGTTAATTACGCATGATGATAATAAACATTTTTCAAGCATATACTATTAGTCAAAGAGTAGTAAATAATTGACGTGTATATTCATTTAAAATGACTGTGTACTACTTGTTTACATGGATATTCAGTATTATTATGTGTAAACATTAACATTCAAGTAAGTTAGTATAAAATAAATTGACGACAAAATCATTATTATGTGCATAACGAATATTAGAAATCGTATAAACATACCACGTTCATTCATAAATCAAAACCATATGATTTCTATTGACGATAAATATACAGTTTTTTTTAATTACAGGTCGTTGAATTTTCTATTCACACACATGATTTATCTTACTTAGGCAAACACTGAAAAGTAGGAAACATTGGACAGCTGATTCGTTATAATCTGGAATTCCTCAGTAGTGGGCATTCATAAACTCACGTGGAATCAAACTCGTG